AGTAAGAAATTTTTTAAGAGAAATTTGGAATCGAAAAATAACAACACCTTATTTTTAATAAATTGAATTTTAAATTAATTTTTTTTTTTTAATGAAAACAAGAGGAGATCTTAAAGAAAATACAATTTTTTTTACTTCTTGTTGCAGCAATTCGAATTTTTCAAAAATTTATTTTTCTTTTTATATTTACAAGCAATATTATTATTAATTTTTAAATTTACGATATTAATTCCAGGTAATATTTTATAATAGGTATATGTATTCACATATTTGTACAAACATAATTATTATGTATAATTTTTTTAATTTTTAAATCAAAATAACACTTTTATATCCAAAAGAAAAACAACACAGAAAAAATCTCAATTTTACTGCAAAAATATTATTTTTGAGCAAAAAAAAAAAAAAAAAGAAATTTTTCATTGAAGAAATTGCAACACTAACACACACTCACATTCACAACATTTTAATATTGTGAATTACATATTATTTTTTATTTTACTTGTTTTCTTTCTTCGTGAAATTTTTTTTCTCCAGAAAATGCAAAATAAACTTCAAAACATAAACCCAATAAACAAAAATATTTCCAAATGATCAAAGTTATTTTATAGCCGTCATCAACTACCACAAATTTATAGTTAAATGTAATATTATATTGTAGTTTTGTAGTTGATAATATCACCAATTGTAGTTGATAATATTATATTGTTTTGAAGTTCTGATTTTTGAATGTGAATCTGAAAAGTATATGTGTGTTTGGGTTTGTTTTGTTTCTGTAAATGTAGTTGTGCACTTTTTTTTTTATTCTTTTTTTTGTTTTTTTTCTTATTTTTGACAAGATCGTTTTATTATTGTTGTTTTTGGTTTTTTTTTTTTTGTTGACAAGTTATTTAAATTTTTTTTTTTTATTATTTTTTTGTCGTTCGTGTTAAGCTTTGTGTTTTTTATTCTTGTTTTTATTATTTAAGCCGGCGACTGATTAGTTTCTACTAGCTAAAAAAAAAAAAAAAACAGAAAAAAAAAATAATTATATTTTCATTTCGATCGAAAAATCAGGTTTTTTAAATTTTTTATTATTTTTTTGTTTATTGTGAATTGTGATCATGATTAAATTTTCATATTAAAAAATTATGATTGTATTAAAGATTTTGTGGTTGTGTATCATTGTTGTAATTGTAAGTAGTTTTACATTCTAAAAAAAAAAAAAAAATCACAATAGATTTTACAAAAAAAAAAAAAAAATTAAGAGAGAAAAATTATAAAATAAAAATTTCCATTCATTCACAATAGTTTTAAATCTCATTCAATATTATTATTTTCTACAATTGATAAAATTGTCAAAATTTAATTTTGGTTTTTTTTCGTGTTTTGAAATTTCAATTGATTATTGTTTTAATAGTATTATTTTAAATAAAATATTAATATTCCTAGAAATAATGATCTTTTGCTCATTTCACATTTCAGATTTTAAAAATTTCGCATTTGTTTCTTCTTGCCCTTTTTAAACACCAAAATCCACACCAATTACATTCGCAATTTTAGAATTGTTTTCAAATTTTTCAATACAAAAATAACAAATAAACAATCAATATTGTGTTGTAAATAATAAAAAAAATTAATATTATTAAAACATGAAATAATTTTTATGGTATATCGAAATTCCTCCAATGCATTATTGTAGAAGTAAGCAAGCAAAGTACTTAGGTACGAGAAATACCAAAAAGTTTAAAGAGTACAAATAAAAAATTACAAAAACAATTAAAGAATAATAATAATAATATAATTTTAGTGGTAACAACAGAATAATGTAGTGTAAGTATGTATGTAATTTTATTTATATTGGTATGCAGGTATGTATATTTTTTCTCCTTACAATAATTGTGTGTTTTTTTTTTTCAAAAAATTACTTTTATTTGTTGCATATAAAATTTTGAAAAGAAAAATTCCACTGCACAAACACAACACAACAAACATAAATTTTATTTTACAAAAATTTTAGTAATGTTGAGTTTTTTTTTTTTTTGTTACTTTTCTCCACCACAAAACTGTTGATGATTTTTTTTTTTTGTAAGAGAAATCTTGGTTAATTTCTAAAAAAAAAAATTAATAAAAAAATTCTTTAATATTTTAATGAAATTTTTAATTTCTTAAATTGAATTTTTCAAAAAATATTTTTTTTTAATTTTATCGCCACCTTCTTTTCAATTCAATTTTATAAAACTTGTTTTTCGAAACAAAACAATAAACAGAAAAAATGAAAACGACTTTTTTTTTTTAATGGAAAATAACCTTTTTTTTTTTCTTTTCTTTATTTTTATGTTTTCAACAAAAATTTTAAGAAAACATCATTTTTTTTTCTCTCTCTTCTTATTCTTATAATTTTTCTTTTTATTTTATGCCGCGACGGCGATAACAAAACACGGGTATACTTTTTTAGTACACATATTCTTCGCTCGAAGTTCCAAAAGTGACTGAACTCTTTTCAACAATCAACTAAAAATATTTGTCTGGAGAAAAAAAAAATATGACGGCTGACTGCGGCTGGATTCCACAATACATATATAAAATTCAATTCCACCAAATAAATAATAATAATAAAATAAAACCAGAAAATAAAAAAATGGAAACTAAAATGTCAAATTTAGAAAAAAAAAAAATATGTGTGTTTGTTTTGAGTGTGGATTGAATTTTATTATATTTTTGTTCTTTTCTTTCTTATTCCTCATAGCTACAATTACGCTACAAAATAGTAGTGTTATTATTGAAGTAAATTATAGAATGAGAAATGGGAATTAAACTACAAATTATAAGAACAACAATAATGTGGAACACGAACAATAATAAATTGTATAACAAAATAAAAATTCCCTTCAGTTTCTCTCTTACAGAAAATTTTTGGAGAAAATAAATAGTGATGCCATAAACATATTACAGTTAGGAACTAAAATTTAGATAAATTTGCTATAGGCAATTTGTGATTACAATAAAAACAATATAAAATTATAAAATGTTGATGTGTGTTGTGTCTTGAAATTTTGAATTAAGGTGGCTGCTATTACATCTAACGAAAAAAATAGAAAACTATCTGATTGATATCAGATTTTTTGTCAGAATTTTTAAAGTAATAATGGCGTAAACTAAACTTTTTTAAAAAATTTGGGCAACATTACTGTCAAAAATTTGACATAAAGATATAAGTAAATTGATTCTGTTTTGTAAATGCTCATATGTTTCGGTTTTAAATTAATTATAAAAATAGAACTGCAATTGGTTAACGGTAACAGCGGACGATTTCCGTTGTTAAGTCACAAAATGGAACATAAACTGTTTTTAAAGTATTTTGTATATAATGTCAAATACATACGGAAACAGATGATGTTAAAAAATATTGCCAACAGTAAAATTTAAATTTTAGGCTATTTTAACATCGGCGACTAAATTTACGGCGGTTATTTTAAAATAATTTTATTCTTTATTAATTTTGACATTCGAAATATTATTCTGAAAGAAATCAAAAGAACTCTTAACTGTTTTCATAATTTTGTTTTCTAAAAGAAGATTTAAACGAACTCATAATTGGTTAATTTGATTTATTAAATTAAAAATATGTTAATTGGTGTACATTGGATATTGACTAACAGATGGCACTTGCATTTGCTCTATAATATTTCAACATAAATTTTTCAAAAGTATTTCAAAGGTTTCAGTATAACAATAATTTTATACAGTAAATTGCATATTTAATTGAAGATGTCGCTTTACTACATACATACATAATTTCATATTCACTATATAAATATACTTACCTACAGTCACGCTAATGTTTATCTTTTTATAAAACAATCATATCTTTCCTAATACAAATTTTTTGAATGGTTTTTGTCTTAACTAAAAATATATGAAAATTTCTACTATGTTTTTTTTAATTGACGTTCAATTTGACATTAGAAAAAAAAAGAATAATAAAAAAAAAGTTCACAAAAATTTTTAAAAATTAAACCGCTAATTTTTTGCATTCTTCAATTCATAGCTAACAAATATTTTTGAAATGGTGGTGGCTTTTAAAATTTTAAATTAAAAATTTGTAATTTTTGAATACTGCACAAAAATTTTCGAAAGAAAAAAATTATTGGATTAAAATTTTGGAATTGGAACAAAAAGAATTGCAAGAAGAAAACTACAACAATTCATACAATGAATGAAAGTTAAAATTGCTTCAAGATTTTGATGGTGTAGAAAATGTGATGAAAATTTAGAAATAAGAAATGTAGTACGTGTGAAGGAAATTATTAAATATTTCTATAAGTTACCAGGATTCAATTTGTGCAGCTATCAATGTAACGAAATTTTATAAATTCAGTAAGGGTAATGAAGTCAAATTGAACATCTTATCTTGTCTTCTAAACAAGTACTGTTAAAAAGTACTGTTATATATATAACTATTACATATTATGGAACAGTTGGGTTTTATATAAAAATACCACACATAAAACAAGAAAGTACCATCCTGGAGCTGTTGTTATATAATCAGGAAGTTACACGATGATTTTAAAAAACCTCTCATGGTTTTACATTCCATTTCAACTCTGATACTTTCATATAATTTATAGATCAATGCATGGAGAAGGACTTAAAAGTATCGGTGTGGAATATAGAATGGTGTAAATTACTAAGCTTAGGAAATGGTAAGTATTTTTTTATGTGTTTTTGGCATAGTTATGTTAATGAAATATTTAAATATGTACACTCGTATTCTTGGTCCTATGACGTAATGGGATAGTCCAGAATTGGTACTCTTTAGATTTTAGAATAAAACTAGCTTCGTAAGTAGGTAACTGGAAATTCTATCCTTTGTGAATGTGAGGAAACCAACGGATGGGTATTACATAAAATAAAACAAAAGTTATAATTTGTACTCCTATATTCTTGCTTTTTTTTTAATATTTGTAGGTAGGCACCTAAATAGTTAATTAAAATAATTTTATTAATTGCATTTTTTGTTTTATACAATAGCAAATATGTATATTAAATTTTAATAATAAAAATTTTTAAAATGTAAAATATTTACATGATTTCAATAATTTTATTGTAAAATAATGAAGGTAACAATAAAATAACTTTGTATTATGAATAATAATTATAGGTTCTTACACTAATTAATTTTATTTTTAATAATAAATTAATTATTTTAAGATATTTATTTAAAATATAATATTTCTTTTGTCAAATTTTGATGATTATTCAGTTGAAAATTTGTGTAGTAATAGGTATCAACATCTTACTTCTTTCTTCTCCATCCAGGTGCTGGTGCATTCGGAAAATATTTATCTGATGGTCTATATTTCCATTGTGAACATAATTCATCTGACATTGATTTATTGTATCCCATTCTAAATATTAATTTAAAAAAATAAAATATTATTTTATTTTTGTTAATTATTTAATTATCTTTGTAGTTTGTTGAAAGAAATATTTGATTTTAAAATGGAAGGAATACAGGGGACAGGCTATTGAGACATTTTGATATAAAATTTTTAATCTAACGCACTGCGAATAATTGATTTCTTTTGGCCAACTTAGCGCAATAAAATTTCTAGTCAGTAGTGTTCTAATTAATTTGTACAACTCGCAAAAATACTATTGGCAAAATACTATTGGCAAGTATTCAAAAATATTCTAGGAATAATGAAAAATTATAATGGGTAGCTGCTAATAAAATAAGGGGGTTTTCGTTTATTCAGTTCTAGAATAGTTCTAACTTTTAGTACATTGGAAAATTCATGCTACACTACACTAAATAATACACTAAAAAATATAGATCGTTCGGAAATTACTGCCTGCAATAAAATGCGTTCGGTAATTCAATCTGCAAAAAAAGAAATGTTAGAAATGTAGCGTAGACCTCTAATATAAATTTTGCCACTGCCTCATGAAATCTCTTTTTTGTTTTTAAATTCAAAATTCAAAAAATATTTTAAATTTCAGAACGGCAGATTCAGATATTGAAGTTTTATTAAAGTTTTCTTTAAGTTTTCAAATCTTTTTAAAATTTCTTTATTTTGCAGTAAATTGGATTGGAAGGCGAAAAATATTGGGGTAGAATTTCATAAACAATGTCATTTCTGTTATTTTTGAACGACTGATTATTTAGAAGTTTCAGAATTTTTAGGCTGCGTAAACAAAAAAAAAACTTAGCAAAACAGTTTTTGCATACTGTTTAATGCTCCGACTTATAAATTTTACTTCTAATGTAGAACTTTCAGGGCAGTGTGCGAAACGAAAATGAAAATCCCATAATAAAAATATTCGTTTTTAAAAAAAAGATCGTTTTCATTGGTTCTAGGGTGTCCTTTTTACTCGTAGTCTTCAAACTACTAGTTTAAGGCTACTTTTGACAAGAAAACATTTACAAACTTTATAAGAAGGCATTTTTGATTTTAAAAATTTATAAGAAATTAAGAATTATTTAAAAAAAAAAGTAAACAAATAAATAAATAAAAACAAACTATAAAATAATATTTTTAAACAAAATTTTTATTTTTTTTTTTTTTTAATTATAAATTTTTAAACAAAACTGCAATAATATACTGCAAAAAAAAATTAAAACTAAAAATTTTGAGGAAAAAAACATAGCTAATTACAATTTAATTAAATTTAAACTTAAAAATAATTTAATAAAATTACAATTTAATCACAATTATTAATACTTAAGTTTATTTAATTTTAAAAATTATTTTATAAAAGCAAATATAATGTAAGAATAAAAGAAATTAAATAAATATCTACAAAACCATAAAAAATCACTAGGAATATTAAATGGGGGGAGAATGAAAAAATTAACCTTAGCATTGCCATTTTAAGCTTTTTGCAAAAATATTTTAAGTGAGCTCAAAAAAAATAAAGAAGTTAAGAACTAATTTTATGGTTAATTTTATTGTTATGAACTGTTTTTGCCCAAAGTTCTGGTATTTTAGTCTGGTAAAAAGTAAATACGGAAAATACTGGGTGCTCTGATTCTCCCCTAACCCTCTTTAATTTATTATTTTTGAAAAATAATTTTGTTTTATATTTTTTGCAGCAAATTTGAATTAAATAACAAATTTTGTATATAAAATTCAATATTTACTAGATTTAAAATTCTACAAAGCCTTGGAATTTTAATTATTATTAGAAACAGTGTAGATTATGAATAGAAATCTGAAATATTTGTAAAAAAATGTGTTTAGCTCGTAATATTAATTATACATATTAGTAATTAAAAATATTATTTAAAATTATTCCTAAACTATTTGGAATTTATTAAATTATAAATTTAAGTAAAATGGTAAAATTTTACTTAAAATCGAAATTTATGTTATTACATATATAATTTATTTTTTATTGTAATACTTTGTGATTGTAGATTGTAAACGCGGGGTAACAATGCACTGCGACCACGTAAAGGATTTATTTCACCCCCCGTCTCTCGAGTGCGAGGCGTGGCCCTACAGGACCCCGCTCAAGATTTACTCACAATACTTTATGATAATACACGAATTATTTAATTTAATTAAAAATAATTGGAACATGAATAGGGTTAAATAAGTAAAAATTTATAAATTTAAAGCCATTTATAGAGTAAAGATTAGACGAAAGTCATCGTCTTTAACTAAATTTCTTACATTATTATTCAAGTGATTTTAAGGAATTAATTTTTAAAATAAACTATTCAATTATCATTTCGAGATTTTCTTATCAAATTATTTTAGTTCCTGTTAATTTTATATTGAAATTATTTTGTCTTACATTTTATGTAATATTTAATAAAGCTAAAAATTATGTCGATTTAAACTGGTTAATCTATTTATACGAGTAGCTAACTAAGTTGATTATATGTATAATAATTTTGATTATTTTTTTGTTCTTGCTGTTGTTCATAATTAAAATAATTTTCATAATTTCTTTTTTGTTTATTATCAAAAAATTTTAAAATATCTTTTAATGATAAATTTCTCATTTCACGAAAAAAACTACCAACAACAAAACCAATTGATGCTAATCTTATACCAATTCTTGATGGTATTGCATCAAATATTGAATTTTCTTCACTCCATTGTCTATTATCATAATAAAATGAATTTTCAATTGCTGGTGTATTATCAATTGATCTTGCTTGAATTATTTTAATTGGATTTATTGATGATCCTGATGGATTTATTTGACCATTTGATATTAAATTTATATTTGTTACTGTTGATGGTAATATAGTAGGTTTTATTTCATTAATTGATAATGATTTTATATTATCATTATTAATATTATCAATACGTGAATTAAAAATTTTATTTTTATAATAAAAATGTTTATTTAAATTTAATAATCTTGTTAAAAATTTGATTTTTTTAGGTATATAAAATTTTGCTCTTTTAAATACCATCGGACATAATAAATTATTATCATCAATATTTATTGGTAAAGATAATGTTGTTGTTGGCAATGATGATGTTGTTAATGTTGGTGATGATGATAAAATTGAATTTATTTGATATCTAATATCATTTTGTGTATCTAACCTTTGATATATTGTACATGGATTACGTTCACGAAAACATGTTATTTGTACAACATTAAAGAAAACAGCACCCAATGTATTTGCAACTTCTACAAAAAAAAAAAAAAAACAAATATTATAACTAATTTGGATTTTTAAAAATATGAGTACGTACCTGTATTAACTGCTTGTAAACAACGTCGAAATTTAGCATCACAATCACAATGTGATCTTGTAAATGTACCAGTATTACATAAACCACGACGACATTCACCAGGTGTTAAAGTTTCTGGGCATAAATCATGTTCACGACAACATTTATCCTCTTCAGTATATCGTCCAAGATCATTATAATCATTTGCCATATTTCCTAAATGAATATAAAAAGAAAGAAATGAGTGAATTTATAAATGGAATGCAATTATTTCAATGGACAAAATTGAGAAATTTCGATAATAATCTGATGTCGGTCATACGGAACATTGAAATTTTCAATGTTTTATTTAAAATTTTCGAAATTTTATTAATGAACCCCAAAAATACTATCGAAACTTTTGTTTCATATAAAAACAATATTTTCTTTTTCAGGAAATAAAAAATTAACCTTCCTTAAAAATACAAAATTAGTAAAATTTTCTTTAAATTATTAAAAAACTCTATTCAATATAGCAAACAATTAAATTTTATTGCAAACTTTTTTATTTATTTTTAACACCTTCAAGATATTGTATTGGCCAAAAATAGTTAAATTAACTAGTTAGTAAATTGTAACCTCATATCTTTGATAATTTTATAAATCAACATAAAATATCTTATACCTAACTATATGTTAGGCTCAATTAGTAACTAAATACATAAATGCTTATATACGTACAATAAGTCTGCCTTTTTTTTTGAAGTAAGCACATAATTTTAATATTTTCAATATTACATAACTAAAATTAAAGTATTAATGAAAAGAACAAATTCAAATGTTTATTTTAAAAATTAGTGAAAATTAAATTAAAAAAAAAAAAAAATTTTTACAATATCTTATACCATTTTAGGTATTAGAAGAAGTTGGCCCCAAAAATTATTAGTTTAACTACAAAATACAATGTTAACCGCATGTAAATTGAGTAAACATAAGTTAAAAATTTATTTGATTTTTTGAATATTTTGTTGATTTTCTTTTTTCATTTACTCATCTTTTCCAAATTGAAAATATCTATGATTTTTTTATTGTTGAAACATAATGTATACAAGTAAATAGAATTTGGGATTAAAACAACATTAAATACAAAAAGAAAAAAATTTTACGCAAATACCAATGACCTTTACTTTTTAAACATAACAAATCATCATTCAAGCATTCATTTTCCTTTCATTTGATGTGTAAACTTTTGCATCTTCTCAAAAATTATATATAAGTAAATAATTAAATAAAATTAAAAAATCAGCAAATTTTCAAAAAAATATAGAAGATTTTTAATTTTTTTTCTTTTTTGGTATTTTGTAATTTATTTCTTTTTTAACTATAATTGAAAATTATAGAACTAAAAGTGATTATAATTTCAATAGGGTCATCTGAAGTACAAATATACGAACATGTAGACCAGGAGTTTGACTTATGGTACTTGGAATTATAAAATTCATAGATTACTTATTGTATTTATAAAATTTTAAAGTTATTTGATATTAACATTACAATTACCGGAGAACTTAATTATTTGGGGTTACTGTATTTAGGAGGAAGAATAAGAAGGATTTTTCAAAGAGGAAGCATTTTGATTTTTAATTCTTTTTCACTAGAATTCAGAGCATTGCATTATATAGTCATTACTTTTAAGAATATTTAAATTACAGAAATTCATAATTAAAAATTAGTGATCTTTATAATTAAAAATTACTATTTAAATTTAGTGTGGTCCAAGCTATTTCGAACAAATTTTTTAATTAGGTATTGATTGAGGAATTCAGCAGATCTAAAATGTAGATTTAAATTCATTTTGATTTATTCAATTTAATTAATTCAATTAACATTAGAACAATTCAATACAATTTCAATTACTGACTAAATCAAATTGACGTAAAATTTGTCTTTTGGTAGAAAACCTTTTTATTATTCGAAATTTTTATTTTGTATGTCCATGACTTGCAATCTAAATCTAATTTGTTCAATTGTTTTTAATACATTATATAATTAAATATTTAAATAAATTCTACATAAATTTAAATAATATTAATTCAGTTTTTTTGTATAGTTCTTTAATTTAAATTTTATTAATATTTTTGTTTTATGTATGCATAATGTGTACATCAGTTTCAATTGTAAATTCTCATTCCTAAAATTTACAAAGCAATAAAATATCACTGTATTTAGGATTTAGGATTTAGGATCACTGTATCTAGGAATTGTGATACACTGAATTTACTCAATTATAAATATATAACATTCTTATGAAATCCAAGTTATTAAATTCAGAATAACATTTGTAGGTCATTAGTTTTGTATTGCAAAAATAAATTTTTAAAATAAAAATGTTCAACTTCTCGCCTACAAAATTAATTTTTAAAAATGAATAAATTTTAATTTAATTTCTAAATTCCTACACCACCACATTTTAAAGTTAAGGTAAAAATGAAATCCAAAATTATTTTCTTACAACAAAGAAAAATCTCAAATTTGTACAAAGTTTCCAAAAAGTTAATGAAAATTTTAAAGATGATAATTTGAAATTTACACGAATATTTTTCATGTTTTTTTTTCTGTTTATTTGTCAATTGAAAATTTTGCAATAAGTTACGAAAATGAAAAAGAAAATGAAAAAAAATTTTCCGCGATTTTTTTTTTTAAATTACTTATTTTTACTTTTAATTTTATTTGTACGCACGCCCTTTATTGTTAATTTTCTATTGTGTTATTTGAGGATACAAAATGATTGATGTTTTGGTGTGTTTTAATTGTTGATGTTTATTGATAAACCCAAGACGACGATGATGATAATGCTTTAAAGATATTACTGATATGATTACTACAAAATATTTACCACAAAATAATTGAGAAATTCAAATTTATAAAATGAATTTTATTTTTGCTTTTGTTTTTACATTAATCCTAATTTGGTTAAAGGTTGTACAAAAAATAATAAATTCAATGGTTATTATTGTTATTTTGTAAACAGATTATTATTAAATTTTTATATAACAAAATACTCTAGATATAAAATTTTTAAGAAACAACAAAAGATCTACTTTCAATTGACAAAAATTTGAAAGAATACCTACATTAGATATTCAAAGATTAATTATTATATGGTTGTAAAAAAATTCAATTCATAATTTTTCTTATTTGTTTGTTCATTTCTTAATTTTTAAAATCCCCACACTCATATACACAAACTCATATACACAAAAAATTCATTAATTAGAATTAAAAAAAAAAAAAGGGTAAAAATATTCAAATTGTATATAAGAAGAAGAATTGAATTTTAAATTTTTTGTGTAATGCCAAAATATTGTAAATTTGTAAATTTTTACTTATAAAATTTTAAAGAACCTTGAATTAATTTGTTATACATAATTGTAAATTAAATAAAAATTTGATTGTTTGAAAAATGTTGAAAGTGTACAAAATTAAATCTAAAAATATATTTAAAGAAAAATGTTGTTAATAATTGGAAAATGGGGTGCAATATCAAGGGTAACGAATAAATGTAATAAATTGGCAAGTAAAAATTTAAGAGTAATATTAATTTGCAACCTGGCAGTGGTTATGGCAGCGGCCCTTTAACCGAAACGTCTCAAACAGGTTCAAACCCCGGTCAGGTCACTATAAAAAATTATATTCAATATTATTATAACTTAATATACAATACTAATAAATATTATACAAGTAATTTTCAAATATTCATAATATTCGATTTAAAAAAGCTAAGAAAAATAAGCAGTAAATATTAATAAACTGAAATATTTAATACAAATAAAAACTACGGTAGGCTAATCACCTACCTAGATAACCCTCTATGACTATATGAAACTAGGGTATGATATCATGCACTAGCCTCATGCTCCTCCTAGGAGTGAAGAATGAAAAAAAAAACTTAATTTGCAACAATATTGTTAAATTATTATTATTGAATAGAAATGATTTATGTGAAATATTTGGAATTTGAAATAGTCATCAGTTTCATAAAGCATTAGAATAATTTTAAATTTAATTAATATATTTAAATTCAATAATATTTCAAAATTAAGAATTAATAAAAATTTTATAAATTTTTAGGTTTTCTTTACACCGTGGGAAGTGTAAAATCTATTGTGCTCAAATTTTGTATGAAGAAACAAAATTCCGGGATAACCATATTCTACCAATATGTTAACAGAAGCTGTTACGATCACTTTTGTAAGTACTCCCATAGTATGTCCAGATATAGACACCATCAATCAAAAATGTATAATATTATTATTTTATAATTATCTCCAGCTATACGGCCATTAGATTATATTAATTTTATTTTATATAATTTATTCAATAGTTCACCTTGAATTTAATTTATTGCAATTATTGTAAATTTATTACTTATTTATATTTATTTACTATAATAAATCAATTTTTGATCTTGATTTTAACACTTAAAATACCGTTATAATCTCTAATAAATTACCTACTGATTAATCAAGTAAATGGATCAGAAATCACAATATAAATCTCTTTAATAATAAATTATAAACTTTTTTTTTTTTGATATTTTATGTTTACCTTAAGAAATACAAAAGAAAATACAAATTTTTTTTTTTGGAGCGATTTGTTTTTGCAAAATTTCACTATCATATAGAATTTTATTATCGAAAATTAAACAAAAAAATTTATATTTAATTTTTATACCATAATGTTGTGTTTAAGCATCATTTTACATATTGTATTTCATGAACAATAAATGTTTAGGTATCTATAATAATTTAAGAATCGAGGTCAACTATAATAGGTTAACAAAATATCAAAATTGACTGCACCCACCTAATATTGAAAATAATAGCTAACATAAGAAAATTTACTTAGTTCAATATACAATAAACTGTTTACAGTAAAACCTAATAGTTTTGATCCATCATATTAATATTGTGGTATTAAATAGAGAAATAGACAAATTTTAAAACTGTTAGGTTGACAACAAAATTTTGTGTCTCATTTTAAATAAAATATTACTTATTTAATCTGGTTCTATGCCAAATTACTTTGCAATTGCACTAGATGAAATTGAAATAAGTGGATATTTAACTGTCCATGATACATGATCATATTTAAAACTGATACTTCAAATTGGCTGCAACTTTAACAAATTCATATCATAAAATGCAAATTGCAATATCTTAAATGCTTCATAAATCTAATGTAATTTTGTCCATTTCTACATATACTTTGTAATTAATTGAGCAAAAATATTAATAAATCGCTCCTAATGTGTTATTGTGTATGTTGTTAATTAAAGTAAACACGAAATAGAAATATGTATATATTATGACAGAAATTTCTCGACGCCAATCCAATATATGGAATCCCTCAAAACTTTATAGTATAGGAATACAAAATCTACTGTAACTATTGATATTATGTTGTTATATTAAAAATGGTCTTTAGTTTGAGATTTTACTGTATAAAAAATGATGAATTAAATTGCAATTTAACCAAAAAAATATTGCAATAATATTAAAAATTTATTTAATAAACAGTCAACCTACGTCCATACACAAAATTATTAAAAATGTTAAAAAGTCATAGAGTTGTCTTACCATTATTATACATAATAGTGCATATACATACATAGATGCAGAATATTCAAACATATTAATTGAAATGTTAAAAAATTCTTGAAGTTTTACACTTATCTTAAGATTTTAATTTTTCATGTATGAAATTTTTTCATTCAAAATTTAATAAAGATCTAAAGTTTGTTTTAGCATAAAATTGTTGTACAACTAATCAAGATGTTCTAATCAAATAATTTAAAACAAAAAACCATTGTGGCTTTAATTAAACCATAAATAGTGATAAGCCAATTAAATTTTCATTGGGTATAATTGTTTAGCATTGATAATTTTTAATTTATTTTTATTTTATCTAAAGAAATTGAGTATTTTTTATTGAATAGGAACTAATATGGTAGTGATTGAGAATTTATTCAATTAAATTAGATTAAAAAAAAACATTAATAATTTATTAAATAACATCATTTTTTAAATTTTAGAAATAACTTGCAAAAAAGGGGGTTCATGTAGCTGATTCGGAATGAAAAAAAGCTCTATTTCTTATAAGAAAATACTTAAAACTTGTGCTATGTTACAATTTCCGGAATTTGGGGTGAAATTAAAGCTATTTTCAAATATGTTTCAAACAGAACCAGAGTTTGTAGAACTTTTCGAAACGTTTTCAACAATATGCAACACGATCGCTATTATTTAATGTTTTTAAGATCCTTAATTGAACTACCATAAACATTTCTTGGGTTCAGTTAGTTTGTTATATTTAGTTTATAGGAAGTGTCCCTTCAACTTAGCTGATGCTCAATTGCAATAGAGTTTCGCGTACATTTGTAGTCATCTGTATCAACAAGCACTTTATCAATATGAATTAGGGTGGATTTATAATCAAATGCGTATATCTTTTACAATGATAATAACCGATAAACGGATGAATATTTTTAGTTAAAATAACAATTTAATCCTGAAAAATAATATATTCGATTTCACGGGCACCAAAAATATTATTCTTATAAAATAATTTATTTTAAAAATTGTAACTAACCCGGTCCACACCATTTTGTTCCCGGATATATAAAACCAAGACCACCTTGAAATGATTCTGATCTAATACCATTACTTGATGTATCTTGACAAACATTTTCTAATGCAATCACTGATTCTTGTGGTATTTGACGTACTTTTGTTGGATCAGCTGATAAAAGCATACGTTGTATATCACCTCTTTAAAAATATAATTAATAGTAAAAGAAATTCACAAAAAAAATTTTAGAAATTTTAATATAAAAAAATTTTTTTTGTTTACCTATCATGATGAACTTTACAAAATGGAGGCCTCGATGATAATTCAATCATACGTGACATTGTAAAATCAGCAATTAAAACTGCTGATGAATTTACATCGTCTGGTGTTGTAAATAAAATTAATATTAATGCTAAGGTTATGGTCATTGTTAAAGATGATTTTGTGGTCATCTGAAAATAAAATAAGAAATAAATGAATAAAATTATGAATTAATAAAGTTATAAAGAAGCAGATCAATTTTTTTTTTTTTTTTTGAAAAAGTGTTAAGAAAAATTATTGATTCTGTTGTGATATAACGCACGTATATAATTCAATATTGCTGTGTAATATAAGAAAGAGAAAAGAGATGATAAAGTTAATCTGTTTGGGATAAGGTTGATTTTGGCGGGAATAATTAAAATCACTTAAAATTTTGTAAAAATTCAAATTTTCGAACAATATACTTGGAAGTTAAGAAATTTTGAGTTATTTTTGAGAAGGAAATTAAATATAAAGAAATAAATTTTTACAAAATAAAGCAAAATGATCCTGAATTCCGTTCTGTCTTAGTAACATTGGAATATAGAATACCAAGGGCAAAAAAAAGAAATCATATCTGCCTGTTTTATTGTGTACCTGTATGGAAGTGTTTTGCATCAAAACAGAAAACTTGACATAAAAATCTTGTATTCAATCAGTAAATCACAATTGTTATTCATTGTTTTATGGACAATATCTTATGAGAACCATTTTACAATACAATTTTATTTCAATTTCATATTAAAAACCTAACATGCAATGGTTGTATAAAATATAAGATGAATTTAATTTAGACGAGCTTTCATTTTTATTGTTTAATCTGTTTTTGTATAAAATCGTTTCTTTAAAATTTAAATAAATTAAAATTTATTTTCAAAAAATTTTCTTCTATATTAAAAAAAAAAACAAAAAATTTCCCACAATTCACTAAATTGGAGCACACGTACCTTATTATCTTGCGAAAATGTAAGTGAGATTGTAATTTATAACGTGTGTCTGTATAATTTATATTTTTTTTTTATTATACTGGTGATTGAAAAAGTGAATTTAATTTAGTGATAAATTTAGAAAATAAAATATTTTATAAAAGTTTTGTTTTTTTATTGTTTTAGGTTGCTGGCACTTTATCTATGAGCACTTTTAATCTTCTTATACATGGTAAATGAATGCATACACAATATGAGAAAATTAAATGTAAAAATAATAACAAATTTTATTTTGAATATTTTTTTTTTGCGAAAAGACTATAATTAATTTTAAAACTTTGTAAAAATTTATTTAGTATCATTTATTTTTAAGATATACATATGTAAAAAATGCATAAAAATAGAATGTAAAAATGTGGGTTAAAATTTAATTTTAATATTGTTTAAATTTTAGCATATTCACTTTATATATACGATGAGAATTTTTAGTTGATTATAAATGGGTATTTGTTTGTGATATTTTTACACATAATTAATTTGTTAGTGACAATATCATGGCACGTTACCAATTTATAGTAAAATATTTATTGTAAACTATTTATAATATTTCCGTAATTTTCTTAAAAATTAGGTTAATTATTAAATATTCCCATGGGTGGTTTGGTTAACAATTAACAACCCTCATTGGATTTAAATTTTGAAAAGACGCAAAATTTTGCAAACTTTAGTAGACTTGAAAAATTTGTACATATATATGATTTATATGCTCTTGTTACAAACAACAAGAACCTATTTTGATTTAATTAAAAATTCTAATTTTCTATAATTAAATAATTAATTGGTTAACGAAGTTCGATTAATTTCGGAATTATGGGAAAATAATGGGACAATTTTTTAATTTTTTTTCAAATAATTAAGTTTCAAGTATTCTACTAGCTTAATATTGTACAGAGTAACTAAAATTATTTAAATAATTTAATAGAAATTATTAAAATTATAAGAATTGAATAGAAAATTATTAAAATTATTTTACAATTATTGTACAATTACTTATTTAACGTTTTAAATTAACTAATTAATTTTATAAAATATTTCTGTACATATTTGAATTTATTCTCTATTTTAATGGCACTATCGTTTAATTGTCAAAAATTTTCTAAAATCCCAAATATTCATATCTTAAATCTAATAAACACGATATTTTTAAAATTATTGAATATTTTCAAAAATAATGCCTTGATATTTTCCATATTCTGATTATGGACAAATAACAGTCTAGTAAACAAATAATTGTATCCAGGTGTATAACATATTCAATTACGCCGATTTATATATAGGAAGGGGGGAGTAGAAACGAATCCAATTACGCACAATATTATTCCATAAGATGATTAAATTTTATTATTTAATTTGGAAATTAATGTCAATCACCTTAATTTTAAAATTTGTTAAGTTAAAATTTACTAATTTAGTTTTAAATCGTGTATAACATTATTTTCATATACAAGACTGCAATCTATTTATAATCTATAGCCAAGTACTCCAGAATTTACTGAAGAATTAAATTCCTAATTAAAAGTAGTGCACTAATATTAATTAAAAGGGTCTTTGTATTAAATCTTATACCTCATAACTTCTTAAATAATTTGATTAAACAACACTAATTTTAGTATCTTTTTTTATAAATAATTAATAATAATTGAATTAATTTGAGGGTAATTTAAATAAAAAAAAAAACTAAGTTTCTTTTTGATTCCTCTGAACAAATTATTTCTTTATTAAACAATTTTGTTGGCTTAGTTTTCTTGTATACTGAAAATGAAAATATTTACAAATAAAATTTTTGTACCTTCAATCTATTGTAATTTTTGTTTTTTTTTTTGTAGAGGAATATTGTAATTACAAGAAAATTTCATCATCATTATAATTTGAAATGAAAAACCACGTAGACACATAAGAAAATACCTTAAATTTTTGTTTTTTTTCTGTCTTACCTTTTTAATCTCTTTGATTTCTTGGTTCGGTTTCAAAATACAAAAAAAACTAAACTTTTATCAATACTAAAATCTTCAATTTTTTAAATGGAAATTTTCTTTTTGTTAAAAAATTTTTCAAAACATGATCGGTATATAGAAGATGGGAGTGAAATAAGTAATTTGATAAAGAAAAAAAATCGCCAGAAAGCGTTTTTTATATAAGTACTAAAGCTTTTGTTACTTAAAAATTGCATTGTTTACATGTTACCTAAATAGATATATAAGGTACCAGTACATTAATTTAAGAGTGGTTTTAAATTCTCGCTTTCATTCTTGTTTTATATCTAAGCCTCTAGTTATAGATGTAGCTGCATTTACGTTTATACTGAAATTATTTGCGCTCAAGAGAATTATTTTCAATATTAATATTAGACCAATTTATTTTAGTGTAGATTTTGGATATAAAGGTAGGAATAAAATTTTAAATATGGTACTATAAGAAAGAAAAGAAACTTAATTTAATTTTGTAAAAGAAGCTTGAACTCCTGAATATTTTAAATGCTTTAGGAAAAAAATTTTAATATTTATGTATAAGGTAGTTAGAAAATGTATACATTTAATGATTTTGCCTGCACTTATTCATGCAATTAAATGAGGCTATTTCACTGCATCAAAATTTAGATTATTTGTTTTGAGGCAGAAATTCTTTAAAAAAAAATAAAAGTAAGCACTCATGCAAAATATTTGCTTAAGCAAATTATAATTCAATATTATTTTTAAAGTTGTTGGGCATAGAGAACTTTAAAAATTTAAAATATTTTACAATAATTATTATGAAGCACTCGAAAAAGTGTGGCCTATTAAATGGTATTTTATCGGAGCCCCAGTTAAAAATCTTGTTCATAATATTTACATGTTCTTGTTTTGATTCTAAGAGAAACGTGTCCTCCTTTAACAGTATACATACTGGGCAGTAACGCAACGAGCGCTTTAAAGTTTTCTTTTTTCTTAATGGATTGCAATTCTAGAAGAATGTGTTATCTTTAAATACATTCTAGCCGTATGAACGTCGATTAGATCTACAGACATTGTTCCTTTCCCCTAAAATATATTTAAATTTTAAGGTTACTTATATACAAAAAAATAGTAATAAGATCAAAAATTATATTTTTAAATATAATGTTTACACTTGTTATACATTCTGCTATAACCATGTATTCAAAGCTGACATAACAAACTTTTATCCGTTCTTTCTTTAACCAATTTTAATTAATAATCGAAACGAAGTGTAAACAAAGAAATTTCAAAACCCGTTATTATTGTATTTCAAATTTCGTTAAACTGTTAAATTCCGCCAAACTGTCAAATTTATATCGTATTTTTACACTAAAAAATTCGAACTCATCAAATTGTTACAACTTGATTTAATTATATACGTACAAATCAAATAATTTTCACTAACTTATTAATTTCATTTCAATTTTTTATAAACGAGTTCAAACATTTTCTCTTGCATCGAATTAAAATCAAAGGTGTGATGATTTCTTAACCGGAAGTCATTGTAAATTTTTTTTATTCATCAATACTTTATTTTAATTTATATGACATCAGAGAGACCAAAAAAAAAAAAAAAACTTAATTTAACTGCATATTTTTTATATAGCAAAAAAAATGAAAACAGAAATATCATTAAAATATTTTATTATTAGCCAAATTTTTATTACACACGAATAATTTGCAGTCGCTTGCAACTTTTTATATAACGTAAAGTTGTTCACCTTGACCTTACCAAAAATCAAATCATAAAAATGCTCGAATTTTTGTTTACGTTTTTTTTTTTTTTTTTTGTTTTCCATCTTTTCTGATTTACCTTCTTCTCGCATTTTGCTGAAGAATAATTAAAAAAAAATCAAAATAAAATGTGAATTTCATACCGTTCAACACCACACCATACATTAATTTTCCACCACATTGTCATTAATATTTTGATTGAATAAATTTAAGTACAGAAAGAAAAATGTGTATGCACGCAAAACTTGTACACTTTTGTTAGCATTTTTCGAAAAACAAAATTAAAAAAAAGTGCTTATTAGTTCGCTGTGTACGTCCGTTCCGTGTCCGTGGACGCGTTTCACCACCATTTAAGATAGTCTACCACGGCAAAGCATAGTTGAACTATAAAAAGAAACAAAATAGCCATTAAAACTAACTGTTATTTAAAATCCGTTTAATAATGCAGTAGTCTGAAAT